ATCATTAGTCAAGGCATTTTGAGATTCAAAATTGATAATAAGAAATTCAAGTTAGATTTATCTTCATTTGAAACTTTCAAAAATCAAAATTTAAATAAAAATTGAAATCTAAAGAGGAAGAGAAAAGAGGAGCCAACATCGAAGAGGATGGGAAGGAGAAGACCATAAAAAGAAAAGAGGAGGAGAAAGAGGAGGAGGAGGAGGGCAGGGGAGGAAGAAGAGTACGTACCTGGATGAGCAGATGACTGCGATTGATTGCAGATAAGCTGCGATCGAAGGTGAAGAAGCTATGGCCGGTCAATGGGAAAGTCGCAGGGGAGAGGAAGAAGGTTGCGATCCAGGTTGGGGGATTTTCTAGGCGGTTGGATGAGTGATGGAGTTCCGCTGCATCTGGAGTCGGCTTCGATCTTCAGGGGTTTAATTAGAAGGGTAAAATTGTAATCTTCAGTCCTATTTAGTGAATAAAAAACTTAATGTCCTATTTAGGAATTTAGTCCATGTTTTAGTCCCATTTTGGTCAATTTCTTTTTTAAATAATGCTACGTAATAAATAAAAAACAATCAAAAAACCTAAAATGAACAATTACTTAATTAAAATCTAAAATTGTAAAATAAAATATCAGTGACACAATAACTAAATGAATAACTCAATTACAATTATAAATTACGGTGTATTAATGTATAAACTAATGATAATAACATTATCAGAAATTAAAATTCAATCAATTATGGTTAAGTTATTGTTAAAAGTGCATATGAGTTAACTCCCGAACCTAAAAACCAAAATCCCAAATTCGCCGGCCAATTTCACAAGTGAAGAAGCTGGCCAAAGTCTGAAGCTATTATCTATGCAAAGCGTAATACAAATTAAGTAAGTAAAACTAATGCTTGGGTTGCTGAAACTCTGACAAGAAGAATAGGGCCACAAAGGAAGCAATAAAACAGAGAAAAAGAGTGAAATTGGAATTGCAAGGATTCCCAAATGGAATATGGGCAGCGTAGTTGGGAGTTTGGGGGCTTTCCGCGACGGCTATGGGGATCAAATTAATGTTAATACTACTAATATAAAAATAAATTGAGGCCCTCCTAATTTGAGAGACCCTAGCAAATGCCTAGCCAAATTGGCCTCAGAGCATCTCCAATGGGGATGTCTACTCTCTTCCACATTCTTACACACGGGTCCCATTTTTATCTCACAAATTTTATGTGTAGGACCTACATATCTCCACATTTATTTTGTTTTTCATTTTTCTATATCACTTTTAACCCACTTTTCATCCACTTTTACTCCTCGATTCCCGTGTAAAGTCTATTTGTGGACATTGTCATACACATTGTCTACAATTTACTCCTATCTCTCTCTTCCTTTTCATTTTTCATACACACCCTTTTCTCCATATTAAATTAAAATAATCATTCTATCTCTATTTCTCTCCTATGCCACGTAGGATAGACTTTACTCCAATCCACTACCCCATTGGAGATGCTCTCATGGCCAGCTCTGCATGTGGTGACTCACATTTCTTTTATCACTCCTTTTCCTTTTCTATTTAATTTTCTTTCTTTTTCCTTCTCTCTCCCTCTTCGTTATTCTTTCGGCACACCTCGCTTTCTTTCTTCTTCCACTTGTGATCCCTCCTTATATCAGTTTTTCTTTTTCTTTCTTCATTCCCCCTTTCTTCTTTCTTCTTCCACCCTACCCGGCCTTCCCCCCTTTTCTTCTTTGACCCCACTTTTTTTTTTTATTTCTTCTTCTTCAAAGTGAGGAACACTAGTGATAAGAGGAGAAACAGAACAACAATGGCGAGGAAGGCGACTTGGTCACTTGGGCGACAAAGCTCCTCACCTTAGCTTCATCATCTTTCGCGTCATTGTAGTTATGTGCCTACGTGTTCAACATAACTCGTTGATGACGACGACACAAATGAGCTCATGAAATCGCCTAACAACATCTTCTTCCTGCATTTGAAATCGATAGCAGCGACGAGCTCATGAAGCAATCAAGGGCAGCTGTATTTTTCTTCTTTCGTGTGCTTTTAGTTGGTAAAGGAGAAAGAATAAGAAAGAGGAAAATATGGGGGTGGAAGTAGAAAGAAGAAGGGAGAGAATTGAAGGACATGGATGAAGAAGAAAGAAGAATAAGGATGTTTTTACTTGGACTGTAATTTGCTGGTCTGGTCTGGTCTGGTCTGGTCTGATCTGGTCTGGTCTGGTCTGAACTGGTCTGGTCTGGTCTGGTAAGGTCTGGTTTCTTTGTATTTTTATAACTATCCAAGTCTGGTCTGGTCTGGTCTGAACTGGTCTGGTCTGGTCTGGACTGGTCTGGTCTGATCTGGTCTGGGGCAAATTACAGTCCAAGTAAAATCATCCTAAGGAGAAAAGGGGGAAAAATGGAAAACCAGAAAATAAGTACTCCCTCCGTCCCTAAATTATCTTCAAACTTTCCTTTTTGGTCCGTCCCTAAATTATCTCCTCTTTCCCTTTTTGGCAAAGGATTTGTGGTTCACAACAATTCTTACACATTTCTCTCTCCTCTGCACAACTCTCCACCACACAAAACCCACTATCTTAATCCCCGTGCCGGGTCAAAAGGGGAGGTAAATTAGGGACGGAGGGAGTATGACTTAATAGTTATTTCCCAATAATGATAAGACCAAAAGTGGAATAAATAAATAAATAAATTAGAGTTTGACTTTTTAGTTATCATTAATGTACATGGATTCCCGTAAGAGCGATCATGATTGATGTAATTTGTCTCCCCAATTTCTCATGCATGATTATTCATTTTTATCCTAATCTATAAGTATATAGGTACTTTTTACACAATGAGAAAAGGTTTATCTGTTCAATAAATCTACTTTAAAACCCCATGTAATTTGATGTTTTATCTTTTCTCGTAATAACAATTAGTTTTCGATGACTCAAATTAACTAGGCATGGCAATGGGTCGGGGCGGGTACTGCAAGACCCAAACCCGCCCCGTGACTTCACTGGGTGGACCCGCCCCACCCCGTGACCTGCACGGGTCCAAACTTGTTGATCCATGACCTGTCCCCATGCGAAGCGGGTCCGCCCCGGCCCGCCGTAACCTAATTAGCTGATGTGTATTTTTATTTGTGGGAAGTTGTTACCAATTGAATGTACATAAATTTTTTTTCTCTAATATATTAATTCAAATTCACGATACACTAAATATGTCAAAATTTAAGAAAAAAATACTTAGACTTGAATAGTTAATCTATTTAATAAAATTGATAATTGAATATATATATATATATATATATAATTAGTGGGAGAGTTTTTCTCCTCTAAACACAACATGCGGCCACAATTTGTGGGATAGTTTTCCTATCTTCACCGTTACCTTATTAAAATCAATGGCCAAGATTAGTTTGCATTTTGTAAATTAGGATTAGTTTGTATGTGATCCTATATATATATATATATATATATACTTCCTCCGTTCCTTTTTAATTGCAACAGTCAACATTTCACGTTTGCCAATGCACAAGTTTGACCATTAATATCATTCATTCCGTATTAGTAAAAAATTTAAAAAAATCATATTTTGAAAATTTAGAATGAGAAGAATTTAACAATATTTTTTTAAAATTTAATTTATAATACATCAATTAATAAAATGTAGTCAAAGTAGAATATGTGAATAGTGCAAAAAGTCCAACGTTGCAACTAAAAGAGAACGGAGGTAGTATATATTAAAATGCTATATATAAAGTAGACATTGATAACTTGTCGTTCATTATCTCATTCAAATATAAATATTAATATATTATAAGATCAAAGAATTTATGATTTATTATATACACACATATGTATGTTGAAGTATATTTGGAGTCTAATTTGAGAAAAAGTATGTACACTTATATATTGAACGGGGGGGGGGGGGGGGGGGGGTTAGGGGCGGCACGAGTCAATACTAATATCCAAATCCGCCCCATTGTATTGGCGGGGCGGGGGTGGGAATAGTTTAGTGGGAAACAACGTACCGAAATCCCAACGACGAAAATTTCCAACTCCGTGGCATTGGAGTCATGTAAAATCATGCAGAACCCGATGGTAATGGCAAAAAAGAGAGACTATTACTGAGTTACATCGTGCTGACAACGTGTAGAAGGAAATGATATGTATTCAATGCACAGGTGCTCCCATTAAATAGGAAAGGTAAGACATTACAATACATGTGCCTCACGAGCCCATTATCATAATGTATTCATCATCTCTACAGATATTTTATCTATAATAACACCACACTACATTTTCTTTAACATAACGGAGTTATATGGTATCTTCATCTTTTCAATTTTTGATGCAAACGACACGATATTCTTAAGAGTAGACACGATATGATTGTGGCTCCTAATATCAAGGACAATCAATAGAAACTCATACGGAATACGTAGTATAAATGTAAAATGTTTACCCACAGGGCCACAGTAATTCTCCCACTTTACCTTGCTTCTTACGGAGTATATTTTTCACCAAACAAGAATACAGTAATAAAGACTAACCACTAACAATCCATTTTTACGTAAAAAATAAACAAACTTTACCGGCACATACCAACGCTCAGGTGGGTAGCTTCGGCAATGCCCCTGTTGCCACTAACATGTTCTTTTTTCTTCCCAAGAGGGGGTTGCACGTTAGGTATTTACAAACTTTCCTGCTTTCCTTGAGTTCTCCCCCCTTTTTAAGTATTGAACTATTGACCACTTTCCCTAATTCATACCCTCCCATGAGTCTCATCCCCCAATGCTCTCCTCTCCTTCACAGAGTCACAATATGCTACCTTTCTGCAGTTCGATCTGGGCATTTGGTTTTTGAACCCTCGCACCTTTTGTTCCCTCCCAAGTATTCAAAGTTATATGAACTGTATGGACCATCGGAGGAAGGAGATCTGCATGTGATTCTCCCGGAATTCATAGAAATCTTGAGAAGCCGAACAGACCTGATATTTAAAGACTCAATTTTTATATCCCAATTTCATCATCACTTTCTTTAATTTGGTTCACTAATGTACCCTTTCCTGATGCCAATCGGATGGTTAAAAATAAAACACGCAGAATCAGAATGGCAGCAAGAAATGACCTGTTTTACCCCATTGTTAGATTCGGGTTGTTTCTTGCTTTTGTTGTATACTTGTCTTGTGGGGATTTCTGGATGAAATCTCATGGAGCAACACATATGACTTTTGTGGAGCGGAATGGGACCCAATTTTTGGCAGATGGCCGGGTCTTCTACTTTAACGGCTGGAACTCTTACTGGTTGATGGACCATGCTGTGGATCAGGATAGGAGATCAAGAGTTAGCACAATGCTTCAAGCTGGTGCTAAGATGGGACTCACTGTATGCAGAACTTGGGCCTTCAGTGATGGTGCATATAATGCTCTTCAGATTCCCCCCGAGAAATTCGATGAAAGGGTATTTAGGGTACGGTAATTCGCTATAAGTATTTTTTTTCCTGTTAGTTAGAAGTTAGAACAATAGTATTTGATTTGAATATCTGATAACTGTAATTCTTTTTATGTTTCTTTTTAAAAGGAATTAATTATGATGGTATCTAGCACACAGACAGTCGGATTTGGTGAATAGCCGAATATGATTTGTACATTTTAGAAATATTTTGCTCACTAGTATTTACAATCCTGTGCACTCCTTTTCCAAAACCTGCCTAAACCGACCTGAAACAATTTCTTGAGATATAATAATACTAAACTGAGAAGTCCAATACCGTCATATCATGTATGATACACAATTTAGAGATCCTTAAGATTGGGTTTTGGAGGGTTAAGTGTATAGTTTGATGCATGTTTGAGGATCTATAAAAAGGGAAATACACATTACAAAATTTCAATGAACCTTTATTCTGTTTTCAGTAAATTCTATTTATCAGGAAAATCCCCCAAAGCACTTCATCCAAACATGTCATTAGGAGTTCTACATGTCTGAACAAATTATATTCTAATTTTTTTTCCACTGCTTGAAGTGTATTTGAACTTTCAGCTTTACTTCATAGATGCGTAATGTGCAGGCCTTGGACCATGTAATCAGGGGCGGATCTGGCTATAGGCCAGGCAGGGCCTAGGCCCAACCTCAAAAAAAATAAAATTACTAGTATATATAAGTATTATATTATATATATTGTTGTTAAGTAATGATATAATTACAAAAGAAGTCAATATATATAAATCGTGCCAAGTCAAACTATTTTTTTGCAATATACGTTATTTAATTAAGGATGTTTTTACTTGGACTGTAATTTGTCCCAGCCCAGATCAGACCAGACCAAACCATATCAGACAAGAGCAGACGAGACTTGGATAGTTATAAAAATACAAAGAAACCAGACCAGGCCAGTTCAGACCATACCAGACCAGGCTAGCAAATTACAATCCAAGTAAAAACATCCTAGATTTTGGCCCCACCTGAATGGCAACGCTAGATCCGCCCCTGCATGTAATAGCTGAAGCCAGGAAAAATGGGATTAGGCTGATACTCGCTTTGGTAAATAATCTCAAAGCATACGGTGGGAAGACTCAGTATGTTAAATGGGCATGGGAAGAAGGTCTTGCTTTAAGCTCTTCCAACGATTCATTCTTTTACGATCCAATCATCCGTGGTTACTTCAAGAACTATGTCAAGGTAAACCCCTTTTCAATAACTCAGCCTCTCTTTGTGGTATATATACCATCATTTGCAATGGAGCAAAAGATTCATTATTTTTTGGCTTGAGAATATGATGAAATAAAGCAAAATGACTCACTAAACTTTCTGCGCTTCTTTGTTATGAATCAACAGCCAGTTCATGCAATTTTGGACGCGATTTTCAATATGGGTTGTCCGGAAACAGTCTCTCTGTGCTTTAGTACATGAGTAAGACTGTGTACATCCGACCCCCCTACTCCACCGTAGGTGAGAGCCTTTGCGGCACTGTGGTAAATGAAAATGATGAAAATGATGATGATGAGTTTCTGGTCGCCAAGCACTTTTTAGAACGCTATTCAGTAGAATTCATATATGCAGATTGTTCAAACTACACTAAAAAATCAAATCCAACCATTCGCTGGATTCGCTGGTCTAACCCAAAACCTTAAAAACCCATTTGGTCTTTCTTTAGCGATAAAGAAATATGTGCACTCTTAAAAGATCACTGCTGTATAATGCCATTGTTGTGCATAGATCAATGTTTTCAATCTTCTCTCTGCAGACAATGCTTACTAGGAAAAACACAGTTACTGGAATTAAATACAGGGATGATCCAACCATCTTTGCGTGGGAATTAATTAATGAACCTAAGTGCATGACTGATCCGTCTGGTGACACCTTTTTTTTTTTCCTCCGGAAGGTCAACCACCAAAATCAGTGGGGTAAATGCCGGAGTACATTTACCGAAATTTTATTTGAAAATAATCAAAACCAACACGAGAGGAGGACCAAACCAATACCTCTCAAAAACAAAACAGAAACAATTAAAAAATAGCACTGGGGGGCTAGGCCAGAACATTGCCATACACAATCAACAATATCTAAAAGAAGAAATACAAAAGAGATCTGAGACACCCTTCAAGTAAGTTAGTTTGATCTCTTTATTACAAGTACATTAAATGTACAACGAATAATACATTATGTTTTTTCCTATAATAATGCTAAATATAACTACAACAACATCCACAACATCCAAGCCTTAGTCCCAAACGATATTGAGGTCGGCTAACATGAATCGATACATGATATCACCAAAAGGAAAAGAAAGAAAAAAAAAAGAAAACAGATAAGCTATTATAAAAAAGATAAGATAAAAGAGATGAATATACGTATAAAAGATAAAATAAAAAGGATAAAGTAATATTTATATATAAGGATAAAAATATATAAAAAAAGAAAGAAAAAGGGGGGGGCGGGGGGGCGGGGGAAGATGATACAAGATAACTCCTCCACAATAATGCTAAATATAACTGATGGACAAAAAATATAACTACATTGTCACTGCAATAATCACTGCTAAAACATCACCATGATTACTAAAATGTAAAATTGAACATTACCATCGTCAAATAGTCATTGTGATAATATCACTGTGGCCACTGCGTATTAAATGTCACATTTGTGCTGATGAGTTTTTATATGTTATTGTATTTCCTTTTTTGTGTGATTACAATGTTACATTTAATTTATGAGCTAGAGATGTATGGTCCAAAAGTTGGCCTTGAAGAAATTTATGACTGGATTGAAGAAATGTCAACTTTTGTGAAATAGGAATCATCTGCTAACAGTTGGCTTTGAAGGATTTTATGGTCCAAAAGATTCCAAAAGATTGAATGTTAATCCTGAATCCTGGGCTTTTGATCTTGGCTCTGATTTTATTCGGAACTCAAATCTGTCAACCATGCATAGATTTTGCGTCCGTTCATGTATATCCAGATCACTGGTGAGCTTATTCTTCTATAGTAAAGAAGCTAGTAATTGTAGTCTAAGAGTCTTTATATATTGTTTTATAGGGAAATTTCCCGAAACAGCCGTAAAAAATATAAAATTCCAAAATAGGACTTCCTTTTTTTAATCCCTGAACAGGAGTTAATTGAAAGTATTTCCCATGTATTACAATAATCACTCCTATTTAGTAAAAAACATAGTACTTCTATTTCAGAATTTTACATTCTTTTTACTCGTATATAGGGCAATTTATGTCATTTTATACTCCGTATATTCATAATACATAAGTGAGGAATGCGATAGGAAAAAATCTATATAATTTTTTATTGTGTTTTATTTTATTTTATCTTATCGTGTATAGGCAGTTTCCTTGCATTGGTGGACTATACTTATTCTATTTGTTTCTGATGAGGTCTCTCCACAGGAGCTTATTTAAACCACTCCAATCTCTTTGAATTAATTATTCTGAAAATTATATCACACTAAAACTTGAGGTTAATCGCTGAAAATTATATCATACTAAAACTTGAGGTTATATCATAGCATGTACCAAAAAGTTAAGAAATATAATTTCCCGATTAAGTAACGGGAAAAAATTAGGGGCTAAGAGCCCGTTTGGTAGCAACAAAATCGGTTGTTTTGGCTGATTCTGCTGAAATTTATGATATTCTGGCTGGAGTGGCTGTTTTGGCTGATTCTGCTGATTTAAGAAAAAAATATTTTAAAAATATATTTTATTAATAAATTAAAGAAAAAATTATATGTAAAAATAGCTAAAATGGTCCTCTACAGTAACTTCAGCCAATACAGCCAGAAAAGTAACTCCAACCTTACTTTTTCGGCTTATTACACAATTCAGCGCGCGAAAGTAAAAGTTACGTGTTTGGTGAAAAAGCTGGCTGATAAGCCTGATAAGCCGAAAACAGAGTTCTCCAAACGGGCTCTAAATAGGCTCTTACTCCTCTTAGCGAGAGACCTATTTGGCGTTGATAACAAATAGAATAAGGCAGCGTTCACTTGCACTTGTGCTTGTGAGAAGTTATTTATTTATTATAGTGATTTTAGAGCAAGTGATTACTAAAAGTTGATAGTGTTTAAAAGTTGGTAGTGTTAAACATAAAAATGATTTTAAAAAAGTTAGAAGTTGGAAGTTGGGTAACAAAGACTTATTTGATTATAAGAAAAGTGAAAAACTGTTTTAAGCACTCTTACCTTAATGAGACATTTTAGCTTTAAAGCACTTAAAGAGGTAAAGTTAACCTGAAACAACAACTTAAGAGCACTATTTTTGAGTTTTCTGAATCCATAAACACAAATGTTTTTTGAAACATTATTGCAAGTGTTCCTTAAGTCCAATAATACTGCAATACAAGGAAACTAGCTGCTTATACAATATCAAATTAAATAGAGTAATTTATTGAGGATTTGTCTATTAGGATGGATGAACCCTTATAGGCTTATACAATACCTTTGAAATTCTTAAACTGGATTTTCTGTTTTCTCAACGTGGTTTGATGTTTTTGGAGGGCAGGTTTCCCAATAATCAAACTTTTGATGAGAAATTGAAGTTTGTGAAGAAGTGGAGACTGAAAAGGCCAGTATTCGGACTTTCAAATGAGAACAAGGAAATTGAATCATCTCAACGTGACAGATTCTTCAAACTTATTCTTGAAATCATATTCAAGTCTGCAAAGTACAATAAATCAGGCCGGGGCGGGGTCCGTCTTCTGGCAGTTCCTTGTTGAGAAGATGGAGGAGTATAACAACGAGTTCGGGATCGTTCCTTGGGAGAGGCAATCCATATATAATCTGATCATCCAACACTCTTGTAGGCTTGCTGGTGTTCATGGACGGTTAAGCATTTGAAAAGCTTATGTGCTTAGACACAGTAACAATCTTCTCATTTATATTGTTTAGATAGAAAAATAAAGATCATCTGGTAATAGGTATAGATAAATTTTCACTTTTTTCTTCCTTTGGTGTCATATAGATAGGCCATTGTTTTAAAATTTAATTTAAAGAATACGTGTACGGTGTATCACTTAATTGTTTTAGATATAGATATCATCATCATTACCCTAGTGCCGCAAAGGCTCCCACCCGCGATGGGGTAATGGGGGTCAATGTACGCAACCTTACCCCTGTACTAAAGCACAGAGAGACGATTTTTGGATGATCCATGGTGAAAATTGTATCGAAAATTGCATGAACTGATTGTTGCTTCATAACAAAGAAGTTAGACAATTAGTGAGCCATTTTGTTTTATTCCGTTATAAATTCTATGTGTCAAGTAAGTACCCATCATACATATAGATATACATTTCAATTTTTTTTAAAAAATGTGTATCTATGTGTCAAGTAATAACCCATTTTTATTCATAATTTTCTTAAACATTTCAAAAAACGGCTTCAATATTTTATACAAACTTGTACAGTTGTACTTTATAGACAAAGTTGTGCTTAGCCTGTATTAAGTTAGATATAAATATACAAAACAAGATGTTTTAGTTAGAATTGATCTATATAGAATGAAGGAAAAATCACATTTTTGGTCCCTCAATTAGTTGCGATATTGAAAATGTCACTTGTGTTTTTCAGATTGTAAAGGTCACTCCCGAATTGATAGATTGTAAAGGTCATCCCTGCCATTTATGATCCATCTCCAATTCTGGACTACCAATAAGTTCACCAGAGATGACATTTACAACACATCTGTCAACTCGGGGGTGACATTTAAAATATCAGAAACACGAGCCTAACATTTCAATATGATGATTAATTGATGGACCGAAAGTACGATTTTCCCTACAATGAATGCTTGTTTAGTTTTGATATAAGATCTATGTGTATAGTAACTAACATAATTCAGCCATAATTAGGTAATACAGAAAGTCTGATACATGTGATCCTTACAATGCATACGTGTATTATTGTATGCATTAAATCTGTCGCTCCCTAGTTAGCTTTTTTCCGTTTTAAACGCGCATCATTTTTTTGAGTAAAAAAAAAACATTTAAAACGAAAAATAATGTCGGTCCGTTTATAAAGGAAAAAATTCTTACTTCCCATATAAAGTGTATTATTCGCGTTTTTTACAAAAAACAAAAACACGAATTGATCAATTGAGCGAATGCATTAAATGCATAGTAAATCAACAATAGTTTAAAAGTAGAAATGAAAATGTCCTTCTCGTGATCTCGTGTTTTTGTATTGTTACAATACAATTATATTTACTAAAATTAATTGCATGAAGGTTAAAGCCAGCGTTCTAAAGTACTAAAACTTAAAGTACTACTCCATCCGTCCCTAATAGTTCTTTCATAGTACAAATGACACACAGATTAAGAAAGTGAGTATTATGTGTTGGAGAGTTATACATAGGATTGAAAAATGTGTAAGAAATGTTTTGAACCACTAATTCTTTACCAAAAAAGGAAAGTGGAAGTTCTTTTGGTACGAATGAAAAAGGAAAGTTGAAAGTTCTTTCAGAGACGGAGGGAGTACTAGATTTCAGATGTTTTTTCAAACAAGCATATCAAAATTAAGGTTTTCCTAAACCTGACATTTTTTAGTATAAACTTTTACACAAACAATAACAAGCGTATTAATCGCACAACTTTTCTCATATGTCATCCATCATCTTGATGAAAATGATGAGTTTAACTTTAGTGTTATTTGATGATAATAGACAGATAATGATTTTAACTTAGTCTCATTCTATTATGTCTTAGACTTACTTACACCAGTTGTGGTTGATCGCCGCCTCCTTGCCCTGGAGGCTCTCCAGTAGAATTACGAATTATTTTTTTTATGTAGTCATGGAATTTGCTACATGAATA